AACAGTTTTTACATATGAAAACAATCTTCTGTCTATATTTTTGAGATGAGGTACTGTAATTATTTACACTATTTACATTGTTTGGACTGTTGTCCGCATCTTCATTGTCGTATTCATGACTTTTCGGCCGTTGTATGCACTGCCCTTCTTCAGGATCTGTCTATATTTATGAGATGAAGTATTGTAACTATTTACACTATTTACATTATTCGAACTGTTTTCCTCAACTTTGCTGTCATATTCACAATATTTTGGCTTTTTTACGATCTGGCCTTCATCAGGATCTGTCTATAATTCTGAGATGAGGAATTGTAACTAGTTGCTCTATTTACATTATGCAGAATAGCCCTTGTCTTTGTTGCCATATTCATGACATTTTGGCAATTGTATGCTCTGGCCTTATTCAGGTGATTGGAATTTTGAACAGCACACTGAGGTAGATTGTTCTAGTTCCCTCATTCCATACTGCTTCAGGATGTCTTAGTTATCTCCCTTTAACTCAATTCTTCAAGTTTTTTTTTTTGTTCACCACTACAGTAGTCAGTCATTGAACTGACAACTCTTTGGTTCAAATCACTAGATCCAACTAATGCTTTTATTCATTTGGCCATGTGTCCTTGAGGGCTGAAATATTGTGAATAAGGCAACAAAGATGAGGACAACAGTCCAAACAATGTAAATAGTGTAAATAGAAAACAATCTTTTCTGAAGAGACAAAAAGATTTCTCTTAAATAAAAAACAAACGGATATTTACATTTTTAAGTAAAGAATAAGAATTTATATAAATTGATAAAATTATGTATCTGTTTATTTTTAATTTAACATAAATAATTTTGAACATCAGATGTTTATGCCAGTACTTCTGAAAAAATTCTATATAAAAAATTTTTTCAAAAGATTTAGAAAATGTAAAATATGCAGATATCAGTGATGTTTACACATTTTCAAGCTTAACATTTATAAATAACAGCTATGTAACTCAGCCCAAGGTTAATAGTTCTGTAAAAATCAGGGATCAATTTGTCATTATATTATACTATTACAAGCAGGACTCCACTTCTAAATTGATAAAAAAAATGAATGTTTTCTGATTCTGACAAATGCTAATCTACAAAAGTTTTTCCTATATTTTATGATTGAGCCAGTCTATTTTTTGTAGATAGCACTGTTTACTGTGTTCCATCTGTAACATTGTTGGGTTAGGAAGAATTGTTGGATGCAGTATTATTTCATTTTTTAATTAATTTGATTTTAATTTTACATAAGTATTTTGCTCAAAATTATTATGTAGGTGGTGTAGTGGTTAGTCTCGCAGAATGAGAAATTAGTGAGCTGAGTTCAAACTCCAGTCAAGTTCATAGCATTCACTTTCGCACAAATACCCTTTGGAAAGCTATGAATCCATTTCTTTTTCTCCCAACTATAGTTTAAATCATAGGGAAGACTGGGCTCTTCAATTTTGGTTGGCAATCAAGTAGAATAGTCATTAGTCTTATTCACCTTTGTGTCACTTGTCTGCTTTTTTCTCTGAACCAGACTATATGCTATTTCCATACTTCCAAACCCAGAGATTTCTTGTCCTTTGTAGCTCTTAATAAATTTTGTCTTTCTCTTATCTCTCCTAAAACTTGTCCCATAATCCATTTACTCAAGCTCAGTCATCTTCTATGTGCCATGTCCCATCAAGATGTAGGTGATCATGGCTCTCCACTACTACCTGTCCTTTGTAGCTCTTAATAAATTTTCTCTTTTTCTTACCTCTCCTAAATCTTGTTCCAACATCCATTTACTCAAGCCCATTCTTCTTCTTCTATGATTCATGTCCCTTCAGGAAGTAGGTGATCATGGCTCTCCACTACTTCCTGTCCTTTGTAGCTCTTAATAAATTTTCTTACCTCTCCTAAATCTTGTTCCAACATCCATTTACTCAAGCTCATTCTTCTTCTTCTTCTTCTTCTTCTCTGAGCCATGTCCTTTTAGGATGTTGTAGATCATGGCTATCCGCTACTTCCTTTGTAGCTCTTAATAAATTTTCTCTTTTTCTTACCTTTCTTAAATCTTGTTCCACCATCCATTTCCTCAATTTTGTTCTTCTATGTGCCATATCCCTTCAGGACTTAAGCAATCATGGCTCTCCACAATTTCCTGTCCTTTGTAGCTCTTAATAAATTTTGTCTTTTTCTTATCTCTCCTAAACCGTGTTCCATCATCCATTTACACAAGCTCATTCTTTTTCTTCTATGTACCGTATGCCTTCAGGACATAAGCGATCATGGCTCTCCACAATTTCCTGTCCTTTGTAGCTCTTAATAAATTTTCTCTTTTTCTTATCTCACCTAAACCTTGATCCACAATCCATTTACTCAAGCTGCATTTGCCTATGTCCCACTTACCCTCAATGTTTCCTGTGAGTATCAAAGTTTCCAAGCCCCTATTCCTAATTATGTGCTTTTGAAATTTGAACTATCTCTTCCTAATGTTAAGTATAGGTGTCATTTTTGTTTCCATGTACCCTAAAACAACATTGTTGCTCACATGTTCAGTCAATGGTATTCTCAACATCCCTCTGTAGAAACATATTTCTGTCTCTTCATCTGTGTGGATATTGTCCAGCATTCACTGCCATATAGGAGGACTGATATTACATAACAGTTCAGTACTCTTTTCTTTGTTTCTGTTGCTTCAAGTCTCTTCTTCATCTGTGAGGAGATTGTCCAGCATTCACTGCCATATAGAAGGACTGATATTACATAACAGTTCAGTACTCTTTTCTTTGTTTCTCTTGCTTCAAGTCTCTTCTTCACCTATGAAGAGATTGTCCAGCATTCACTGCCATACAGGATGACTTTGTTTCTAATGAAATTTTTCCTGTTTCTTAATAATTTTCTTAGTTTTATTTTAGTATTTAATGTATTCAGCATAAATATAAAGACTGCCTAAAATCTTATGAAAAGCTCATAAAACTGCTTCCAGTATTAATTTTTATGGGAACATGATTTTATTATCAAACAAGTTATTTTAAACAATAGAAAATATATACCAATGTAACCAGCTATATTGTCAATATTCTTTTATTATTTTGAATTACTTTTCTTATCTTAGTTGATATGGATGTTATTATAGACAGAATGTTTCAAGCAAGTACTCTCTGGTCATCATCAGGTATTCATTGATTGTCTGATATGGGATACCTGTTGATTATTTCAATATTTTGTGTCTGTTATCGTCTGCTTCTGCTGAAATAATGTGTCCAAGGATTGAGCTTATGACCACTTGATGACAGTAACACATGTATAACCAACTGTTATATTCACTATGCCAGTAATATTTGGTTATACACATCTTACTGTCATTTGGTGCAAAACTAAATCTCATTCTAAACAAAAAAATAATGTTGAACAGATACGTAGTATTGGTCCTCCTTTGTGGTAGTGAATGCTGGACAATTTCTTCATAGAGGAAGAGGAGACAAGAGGCAACAGAGATGTGGTTCTATTGAAGAATGCTGAGAATACCATGGATGGAATGAGTGAGCAACAAGAATGTTTCAAGGAAAATAGGAACAAGAAGAATGCTTACACTTAGAATCACAAATGTTGAAATTTTTAGGATGCAATGAGGAATGAAGACTTGGAGATTTTGACACTTACAGGATAAGGTAGAAAATAACCTACATAATGAACTTGTGTAAATGGGGGTAGCAAAACAAGGAGTGGGAAAAGAAAAAAAAAAACATTACGAAGATTTAGAAAGGATTGGAAATAAAGAGCTATGATCACCCACATTTTGAAGGGGGACATGGCACAAAAGAAAATAGTTATGTGTGTACAAAGATGAATATATTTTGCTTATTTTATTTCTACACTAGTTAAGTGTATCCTTTGTTTAACAACATACACAACAAGGAAAATCATGTCCAAATTTGTCCACTTGAACTTGTATTGACTAATAAATTCCTTCTGTTCAACAAAGCATGGCCATTTTTGGCATTCTTTCTTATTTATCTTCAGTGTCATTCATTTTAAATAAATATATTGCATTTTCAACAACTCTTTATATATATATATATATATATATATATATATATATATGTATGATGTATGTGTGTATACATAGTGTAATGTTACTTAGTTTTTAGAGCTTATTAAAACGTGACAAGCATATGCGTAACTAAAACTTTCATGGTGATCAAGCATGCAATATAATCCATCTGTGCTTAGAAGAGAATGTCAGATCATTTTTTTTTAAGAAATTAAATCATAATTTTAAGACTCCTTTCGCTTATTGTTTTTTACACACCACAAATTATGAAATCTTAAACCTGAGTTTGTTTAACTGATGCCTAAATGTGGCAGACTAATCCCTCTTGGAGATACCTGCTCAGTCACATTAGGGTTTGGTCAGAACCCACAAAACCAACCAGCTTTAAACTGCAACTATGCTGAACAGATCTTAATTACTGTTTCTGTAGCAGTGTGATTAATATGATGTGATCAACAGTTTGAACATGTTCAGTACATTCAAATTCTCAGTCACAATTACTTGACAGATTCTGAGAAATTCTTTCACACCAGCTTCACTCCTAAGGCTTGGGTTAACTTATGTCACGGGTTTTCAGGCACTTCTCACATATTTGATTTTTTTTTTTGAAGATCTTCAAAGATACATTGCAGTTTGCAGGGACTGCCATGTCAATAAGAAGGAACATTCTGTTTTTGTGATCTTGGCTATTTCTTTAAGGCATGGGCTACCAGTAATCCCTTCAATGAGTCTATTGGAACTTTTTCCAATCAATCTGAAGGCTGATTTATTATTGATGTTTAAGGTTTTCTTCTTGATTTATTATTACTATTATAATGTTTACATTGAGTTCTCCCTGGATAAATATCCTCTTTGGGATTATCCCTACCAGTTACAAATTGGTAACATATATTCTTAATGTTATTATTTTATTTTTTGTAATTTTATTGAATTTCATTTGCTTCATTTTTTTCCTCAGATTCATGGAGAACCTACAGACTGAAGTGATCCAACTGGAATTTACTGATTTTTCCAAGGGAATGAAAACTATCTCAGAGGAAGACTTTGCACGGATTCTTCTCCGTTACACTGTCCTTGAAAAAAATGAAGTTGATGAATGTATCCGTCGTGTACGTGAGAGGATGCCAGAAGAGAAGGTCTGTCTATGTGTATCACATCATTTATTTGGGTTCTTTTGTAGCTTGTTCAGTGCTTTAACAATTAAGCATTTGCTATATGCAAATTTATTCAAATAGTTCATGCACAACTATACTCAAAAAGTATTCATCTTCTTAATATAAATGAAAAAGTAACTTACTTAATGTATTCCTCTTCACAGTATTCCACTTTAGACCTCATGTAATTATTATCTTTTATTTTTCAAAAGAGTGTGCAAGTTCTTGTTTTGGGATTGCCATTAGCTGCTTTATCCACTATACAGCCCATTTCATCAGTGATAGCATCCTACCAGTTTGTGCGAACCAATTCTTAAAATTATAAAAGCTTAGCAAACCAGTTGTTGGATTATATGAAAATAATTTTATATATTAATAGCTGATATATAATAGTTAAATTTATAATGAATACCATTGCTGTAAGTTCTGTGGAGGATGAAAGAGGGTTTTCTGTGATGAACATAAATTATTCTGACAAAAGAAATCCTCTTGAAGCTAAAAATGTGGCAAATCTTCTAGCCATAAGTTTGATAATTCTTCCACTGGATCCTTGGGACTGCAGCAATTTAGTTCCAATGTAGCTAAGAAACCATAAAACAGCTGATGACATGAGAGTCAAAAAGCATCATACTTTGGAACAGAAATATGATGAGAACAGAATTTGAATCTCGAAATATCTTACTAAATAAATGTTTTCTATTACATTATCTAAATGGCTTAATTCTTACTATAAAGTGATTTGTTTCCATTCTTAGATTGAATAGAAAATAAGCAGAAGAGGTTCCTAATCATTACCCGTCTTTATAGAACCAGTTCCTGGAAGTTTGCTATGACATTATTGCATATATATATATATATATATATATATATATATATATATATAGACTAGGAAAGTGTTGAATATGGCATATTTCTAATAGAAGAATAGATAAATAAAAATGGGCTTTCCATTATTTTGGCCCACACCTTTGTGCATATACACAAAATTCATTTATAGAGTTAATCATGAATTTAAAATTCTTGTAGATTTTTGTAGTTATTGGATAGATCTATGGCTTTGTCTATGTTTCTGATTTGAGGTATTATGTACACTATTTCCATTATTTGGACTATTGTCCTCATCTTTGTTGCCATATTTGTTACAACATTTCGGCCGTTTTATGCTCTGACCTTCTTCAGGTGGTTGGAATATTGAACTGAACCCTTTATTTCACTCACTGTGGTAGACTGTTCTAGTTCCACGTGCCATGTTTAATGGATGTCAGTTATCAGTTATCTCCTGTCAATACCCGCTTAAGGCAGTGGAGAACTTGGAGAGGGGAATTAACAGGAGATAACTGATAACTGACACCCATTAGACATGGCACGTGGAACTAGAACAGTCTACTCCAGTGAACGAAATAAAGGGTTCAGTTTGACATTCCAACCACCTGAAGAAGGCCGGAGCATACTACGGCCAAAACATAATAAATATGGTGAGAAAGATGAGGACAATAGTCTGAATAATGTAAATAGTGTACATAGTACCTCATCTCAGAAATATAGACAGATACTGAAGAAGGCTGAAGCATACAATGGCTGAAACATTGTAATAAATATGGCAACAAAGATGAGGACAATAGTCTGAATAATGTAAATAGTGTACATAATACCTCATCTCAGAAATATAGACAGATACTGAAGAAGGCTGGAGCATACAACGGCTGAAACATTGTAATAAATATGGTGACAAAGATGAGGACAATAGTCTGAATAATGTAAATAGTGTACCTATGGCTTTATATTTATGGCACACATTTATTTAAAATAGATTTATGCTTGTAAGATAAAAATTAATCCATCATAGAAATGGAATCAAATTGTTTTTATTTAATTTGAATTTCTTCTTCATTTTTGGTCTTTTGCAATTTTCAGGGAGTTACCTTTGAAGAATTCAAAAAGTTCTGCCAGTTCTTGAATAACCTTGATGACTTCCAAATTGCAATGAGAATGTACACCTTTGCAGAGCAGGCAGTTTCCCAAGGTAATATTTCTTAAAAGAATTGAAAGAATAATCCAGAACCTATACTTGGTGCAAAGTACCCGTATAAGTATAGAAAAGGAAATGAGTAAGTACACAAAAACAGAAAAGGGTGTAAGACAAGCATGTGTCTTCTCACTGGATTTATTTAACCTAAACAGAAAGGCAGTATAAGAGCTCAAACTATTGCCAGGATTTATTATTAATGGACGCAAGCTTAAAAACATAAGATATGTTAATTATATTGTGTTGGTAGCAGAAACAGAAAGAAAACTGCAGGAACTCTTAAACAAGGTAATAAAGGAAACAGGAAGAAAAGACTATCAATTGTAAGAAGCTAAAATATATGCTTGTAAACAACAGGAACAACTTGAAATATGAGCTCTAAATTAGGGATGTCAAAATCAAGCACATGTAGTACTAGATTGGCAGCCATGTCTCACTATTTTATAATTAAAATGGCTAAATATAGCCATAAGTCCTATTCTAATAATTTCTATCAGACTTGTGGAACTCTCTTCCAACTTCTTGCTACCAGTCAACTTTGATGTTCAAAAATTTAAATGCAATGTCAATCATTATCTTCTATCTTCTTAATTCTTGTTCTTTTATTCTTCTCTCTCCTTAATAGTAGTGTTTTTCATATTCTCTAACACTCAGTAACCCCTTGCATCCTAGTGGCTTTATTGCCTTTGATCTTCAAAAATTTAAATGCAATATCAATCGTTATCTTCTGTCTTCTTAATTCTTGTTCTTTTATTCTTCTCTCTCCTTAATAGTAGTTTTTCTCATATTCTCTAACACTCAGTAACCCCTTGTGTCCTAGTGGCTTTATTGCCTTTGATCTTCAAAAATTTAAATGCAATGTCAATCGTTATCTTCTGTCTTCTTAATTCTTCTGCTTTTATTCTTCTCTCTCCTTAATAGTAGTTTTTCTCATATTCTCTAACACTCAATAACCCCTTGCATCCTAGTGGCTTTATTGCCTTTGATCTTCAAAAATTTAAATGCAATGTTAATCGTTATCTTCTATCTTCTTAATTCTTGTTCGTTTATTCTTCTCTCTCCTTAATAGTAGTTTTTCTCATATTCTCTAACACTCAGTAACCCTTTTGCATCCTAGTGGCTTTATTGCCTTTGATCTTCAAAAATTTAAATGCAATGTCAATCGTTATCTTCTGTCTTCTTAATTTTTGTTCTTTTATTCTTCTCTCTCCTTAATAGTAGTTTTTCTCATAGTCTCTAACACTCAGTCACCCCCTTGTGTCCTAGTGGCTTTATTGCCTTGCTTGGGATTAAATGGTTAAAAAAAGTACAGAAATTTAAATATCTGGGAAAATTACAGAAAAATGTGATATGAAAATTATGGAGGCTCATTAGAATAACAAAGGATATCTTCCAAAAGCATATAGAATAAGTTAATGAATAAAAAATGTTTAAATTTAGGAAAAATAAGCATTGATAACAATTTAAAAAAAAATGTTAATTAAAATATTTATAAAAATCATCATCAGTTCCATGTTTGAATATTTTTGAAGGGGTTGCTGCACAGCTGGGCACCTGACCAGCTTTCTCCATATATCTTGGTTGCATGCCAATTTTTGAACTTCTGTAAGTGATCTTTCAGTCATCTTAGTGACATTCCCCCCCCTTTTTTTTCCTTCTTCTTTTGTGATACCTCATAGGATGGCAGTGAAAAGATTACTACTTGTGCAGCTCTTGAAATGATTTCTATTCTGGACCCATCTTTGCTGATAATCAAACCAACTGATAATAACTTCCAAGAGAGTGACTTGTTGCACCTTCTCAGGTTAACCTTCTCGACTGGCATGAAGTAGAAAGATTATATTGAATCTATTGCTAGTAAGAAATTTGGTTCACTGTCTCAGGCTAGACATTTTTTGCTCTCCTAAATCTATTTTACATAAGTCTACCATTCCCTCATGCTTTGAATATTGTTGCCACATATGATCCAGTGTTCCTGGATTAGAGATTTTTATCAAATCCAAAGAAGAATCAGCAATATTATTGGTCCTGATTTGTCACCTTGGCTTCAGTCATTTTTCCACTGCTGTAATGTAGCTTTCCTATCCCTTTTTTATAAATACTTTGTGGTAATTGTGAGGACGAGCTCTTTGCAATGGTACCTAGACTTTATAAATTTAAGTGCAGTACTAGATTGGCAGCTAGGTCTCAACATCTTACAGTTTAAATGGTTAGATTCAAGTATAAGTTCTTTGCTAACAGTTTCTTCTATCACACTTCTCACTTGTGGAAATCTCTTCTGGCTTTGTGCTTTCCAGTCAAATTTGATGTTCAAAAAATTTAAATGCAATGTCAATCCTTATCTTCTGTCTTCTTAATTGCTGTTCTTTTATTGTCCTCTCTCCTTAATAGTGTTTTTCTTTTTCTTATATTCTTTCACTCTCAGTAAAGTCCTGTATTTTTTGCCTTGTTTGGAGTGAAATTATTAAAGGAAATACATGGAGAGTCTTTCTCTAATACACACACACATACATACATACATACATACATATCTATATCTATATCTATCTATCTATATATATATGTATGTATATATAGGCACTCATTACCAATCCAATTAAAATTCCAAACAGCTCTTTCAAAGAAATTTTGGGAATTGAAAGAAAATGGTCTAAACCCACAGACAGATTGAAAAATTATAGGTTTCGCACATACCCCTAATAGCTTTAGAGATAGATGCAGGCTATGTTTAGAAGGAAAAAAATAGAATAATTAAATACAATGATCAATGAAAACCAAAGGAAAGAGCTAGTATTAAAATGTAGGCATAGAAGCAGGTTCAAACATATATAAGAATAGAGATCTTACTTTATCACTCACTAAGTACCAAAAAACAACAGCCCCCCCCTCCCACATTGATGCAACACCTCTCTGATTAAATTTTTTTCTTTAATATCTTCCACGTAAAGAATTTCGGGTACAGCTTGGTATTCTTAATAATATGACCGAAACTTAATGGTGTAGTTGGATGGTTTGGTTTGATTTGGTTTGTTTTACGGTATATCAACCTCAATGGGTTATTTAATGCCAACAAATTTTTTGTTGCTGGTAATATTTTTTTTCCTTCATAAATCTATTTTTGGTAATATTTTTTTCTTCAAAAATGTATTGCTGGCAATAATTTTTTTAAAAACTATTTCTGGTATTAAAATCTATTTTTACACTTTCATAGTGTTTTTACCCCAGTTTGGGAGTTAACTATTTACCCATAGCTGGGACCCTGACATGTACTACCACCCTGTGGATCTGGGAACACCAGCAATTAAGAGGTGTTCCACGCTCCTCAAAATCTCCTGATCAGAGGCCTTGCTGTTGGACGAAGTTTATCATCTTACCCAGGACAGGTAGATGGATGGTATATATACATATATATATGTATACATCTATGTGTATGTTTATGAAATGTGGCATTTGTGGTATTGAATCCTTTCTGATGCAGTCACAGTTCAGATGGGCTGGTCATGTCATCAGAATGAGTGATGATCAAATGTCGAAAATCCTCATGTATAGCCAACTTTTTCATGGTAAGCGTAACGTAGGTTGTCCTTGGTTACGCTTCAAGGATAAACTTAAATGGAATTTAATTGCTGCAAACATCCCTATAGAGGAGGTCGAAATTGCTGTTGAAAACCGAGCAAAATGGAGAAACATCTGCTATTGAGGTATTGTCTTAACCATCTGATAAAATTAAGAATTAACACTAAATGTTGGGCTAATACATCAGCCCATATGATGGTAAACCCTTCAGTATGCCCTTCATGTGGTTTTGTTTGCAAATCCCATGCAGGATTGCTGTCTCATATGAAACATAAACATAAAAACTGAACTGAAAGACACTCATATATCCCAAATGATGGGAGAGTCCATCATCATCATGTGTATGTATGTTTTATTATATAAATGAAGTTGTCTGCATATAAATCCTAGACAATTTCATTATGGACTGATACAAATGGTTACATTATTCGTAAAATGTATAGAAGTCTGGCATTCAACTTTTTTCAGAAGTAAAAGTCAGAGGTAGGGAGGTAATTTAACATAATTCTAACTAGTTATATGCTTGTTCAGCTTCCTACATAAAATTTTGTAGTTGATAAATAAAAGGTCTCTTTAAGAAACTGGTAAATAACTTAGCTGTTTTGAAAAAAAAAACTCCAAAAAACCCAGATCATAAATACAAAACTACTTTGGCAAATTAATATGAAACTGTTAAGTAAAGAGCATCCATATAAGATGTTAATTCTAACTAATCAATGTAAGATGTTAATAATATTAACTATAGACCTGTACATCCATATAAGATGTTACACTAAACATTGATACAGAGCTATATTAAATCAAAATGAATCTTATAAATAGCTTACTATTACAAACCATATAAGATGCACTGCAATTCACCTACTGATTATTACTATAAGAAAAAGTATTATCAAATTCAAAGTTTAAAAATAGTAAGGTAAAAGGTAGGATATTATTGGTTTAATAAGGGGTTTTTATCAGAAAATCTTATAATTTCTAATTTTTCATGTAAGCATAGAAAACAGGGTCCATTTAAAGATCTACATGTTATAGCTTTTTTTTAAATTTTCCATTTAACCTTAGGAGTTTTATTAGCTTCTTTTAAATTCCAAAAATATTTAGAAAGAGATGTACTATTTTTATAAGCACTATTGGTAAAGGATAAGATATGTTGGTACCACCTAGTCTTAAAAGAATTCTTAGTACTACCAATATAACATTTTTCAACAGTCAGATTCTCTATTGTGGAAATAGTACTTAAATAAACAAGAGAGTTGGTTAAACATTTGTTTTGTAATGGGCATTCATTAGAATTTTTGCAATTACATTGGTTAATATTATCAACAATATTTATCTTGAGATGTGCATTATTATCCAAATTTTTAAATTAGTTTAAAATTTTATTATTGTGTTTCTTTATAATCTTCTCAAGATTATTAGTGCAGCTATAACTTAGTTTTAGTGTGTTTCTGTTAAATATTTTACTAATAAGTTTACTTTAAGGGAAATGTTTATCAATTAAATGGAGGACTAACTTAGTACTGACCAGTTGGTTAAATGGTAGTGTGTATCAAATGATTTTCCTATTCCTATTTCTTTTCCTTAGATCAGTATTATCATATTTTCTATGCTTAATTTCAGTGTACTTGTAGCCACTATTTTTTAAAGCTGTATTATAAACACTGCTATATTTATCAAACACATCTTTGTCAGATGAGTTGTTGCTAATCCTACATTCTATAGATGAGGGTATATGTTTGATTACAGAAGGAAGGTGGTTAAAATTGGAGTGAATATATATCGGGTTAGCATTATTTTTCATATAAGGTTAGAATACATCATTAACAAGATCTAACATATCTACTTGTTTAACATTATTAGTTATCTTAACCTTAAGATTTAAGCTTTTTAATTCTCTATAAATCATTTTCCTTAATTTTCACCCTTAATTTTAATAGACCATAAGGCCATCATCTCTATATGACACTATATTATCAATAATAACATCATCATAAGCATTAAGATTATATAGGATAAATAAAACCACTAGGTCAGAAGTCTCTGCAGAATCTAATGATCTTTTAAAAATATCAAAATGATCATCAGAGTTAACCACAGTTCATTGTTTTTAATGAGAACAGATCTTCTACAGTTCATTATTATATTTAGATCTTCATTGGAAATATTAGAGTATTCTTTGGCAAATTCAAAAGCTAAGGTAAAAACATCCTTAGAAATGGAGGGGTAAAATACACAATGTATACATATATGTGTGTATATATATATATATATATATATATATATATATATATATGTGTGTGTGTGTGTGTGTGTGTGTGTGTGATTAAAATGAAATGTGGTCTGCATATGCTTCTTATAATATGTTGATTTAATAGGTCAGTTAATAAAATTTTAAAAATAAAGAGCCAACAGAATGATACCAATATTGTCAATAAAATTGATATTTATTATATATTAACCTTTTGACTAAAATGATGCATGGAGAGATAGATTTTAATGTTAGAATTTTCATACATGCCTGTGTTCTTTTTCAATGATATGAGGAATAAACAACTTACTCTTCCTAGGAATGTTGTTGGTTATAGTTTTCCCTCTGGAAGTTATATTCTCTGAGTAAACCCAAAGTTCCTGTTTAATCCCTCAATAGTTGAATTTATTTTGAAAATAATTTTCAACTCCAATCTGCATTTTTCTTAAGACATTAAAAGCATGCATCTGATGTCATCGACGCTATGAAATGGTTGATTGAAGTGTGCTGCAACAAGGAAATTTAAAAAATTCCAACAATAAAATCTATTTCTTCATGCTTTCATCCACACATTCAGTTAAAAGTAAAATCACTCAAATATATGGAACATTCAGACAATTTTTCATTATTTATGCTCTGAAAAATAAAAAATTATAAAAACACAAGAAAAATTAAATAAAAAACTCAACCATATTATCTTGTCAGTCATTTTTAACTTATATATATATATATATATATATATATGTGTGTGTTGTTTTATTTTGAAGAAGAGTTCCAGCGAGCTGTTAAGATTTGTACAGGCACCCACCTTGGTCCCCACATTGTGAACACAGTCTTTCAGATTTTTGATGCTGATGGAGATGGTCATTTGAGCCATCGGGAATTCATTTCCATCATGAAGGATCGTATTCATCGAGGTGCTCGTGTGAGTAAATCTAACTCTGCATTTTTCTCTTTTTTTTAAATATATTAATAAAAAATTTTATTTGCAATATTAACAAAACAATCATAGGTAACCAATAAATTACCATAATAAAAAAATAAATATAAGTACACAAAAATAGAAAGGGATTTAATACAAGTGTTTGTCATCTCACTGGATTTATTCAACCTATACAGTGAAGCAATCTTAAAAGAACTAGTTATCCTACCAGGATTTATTATTGGTGGGCACAATCTCAACAACATTATATATATATATATATATATATATATATATATATATATATATATATATATATATATATGACATAGTATTGATAGCCTGTACAAAGAAGTAAAGAAAAGTGGGATGAAAGGACTACGTATCAATTGAAACAAGACAAAACATATGATTACCAGCAAAAGAAACAGCTTAAGATGTTGCCCTCTAAAAATGACAAAATCAAGCTAGTCCAGAGATTTAACAATTTCTTCTACCTTATGTGTTGGGTTCCTTCAAGGCGTAGGCAATCATGGCCCTCCACATCTTTCAGCCCTTGTAGCTCTTAATAAATTTTGTCTTTTTGCTATTTCTCCCAGACCCTGTTTACTCAAGTCAATCAAGTATTTTACACACTGTTTTCCTTTGTCCCTCTTGCTCACAATCTGTTTTGTGAGTCATTCTTCATGATGTACCTTAGAAATTTCAACTCTCACTTCCCGATGTTAAGTATATTTTCTCTAAAATCTTGTCATTGCTTACATGATTGGTTCATAGCATCCTCAGTATCTTTCTGTAGACCCACATTTCTGCTACTTCAAGTCTCTTCTTCATCTGTGAGAAGACTGCAACATTCATGCCATATAGGAAGACTGATATTATGTAACAGTTCAGTACTATTTTCTTCAGAACAGACAATGGAAAATGTGTCATCAAAATCTAAAGGTACATTGAGATAGAGAATGATGCCTATCAAAAGCTAAGCAAAGTATTAAGACACAGGAAAATTTCATTACAAACAAAGAAAAGAGTACTGAACTGTTACATGATATCTGCCCTCCTATATGGCAGTGAATCTTGGACAATCTCCTCACAGACGAAGAAGAGACTTGCAGCAACAGAAACAAAGAAAAGTGTTCTGAACTGCTATGAAATATCAGTCCTCCTATATGGCAGTGAATGTTGGACAATCACCTCACAGACAAAGAAGAACTTAAAGCCAGGGTAATTGAGAATATTGCGAATAATGTGGACAGTGAATATGACCAACAAAAAAAGTTTTAAAAAAAATGGAAGTGCACAGGCCATTTATACACAGAATTAGAAAGATAGTTGAAATTTTGGGGGGCACACAATGAGGAAAGAGGGCTTGGAGTATTTAACACTCACAGAACATATTGAAGGCAAGAGGAGTAGAGGGAAATGGTGAGTAACCTACCTAATGAGTGTAAATAAAGATAGAGCAGGGAAAAAGAAGGGTAGTAAAAAAATTACAACGTATAGGAAGTTGTGGAGAGCCATAATCGCCCATGTCCTGCATACTTGTTACATTTTGTATTGAGCATCTATTTTATTTATGATTATGCATTGTGTGGATGGACTTACCTGCATGTATATCTTCGTTAGTGTATTACCCTTGAACTCCATTATAGAGTCTTCAGTGCTTCAATGCCAGTTACAATAGGGTGATGATCAGGTTATGATCAATGATGATAGAATCCCTAAGCAGTTTTTGTATAGTGAGCTGGCTGATGGAGAAAGACCAGCAGACAAGTCAGATATAAACATTGCATCAAGAATGCACAGAAATAGGCCAACATCTTTTAAAATATAATTCAGGTGTATTGATGTTATTTTCCTAGGAATATACAAGACCCAGGAACCACTAGAGGGAGAAGGTTCCAGAGTTAGTGACATAGTTTATGCAAATATATCAAAAGGAAAATGGTTAAGTCTAAATTTGAACAGGTTAATATTGTAGTGTTAAGGGAAGCATCATCTTGGGAGTTGGTTCTACAAACCCACAGCTCACAGGAAGAAGCTGCTTGAGTGGAACTTACATCTCACCAATGGAATACAAAGGGAATGTGTGTGGTATGGTAGACCTTAATCGTGACAGTTAGAACTGGTGGAACTAAGGGATGTAATTTATCTGAACACTTTCCATGAAAATAGTAATAGAAAAGACGGAGGATTGTGATGTTTCATTTGTGAGAAAGGGATTGTAGGATAGAAAATAATTCATCACCCACAAGGATGCAGAGATGATCTTGGACTCTATTGAAACTGGAAAGTGACAACTGGTCAGCTTCTGCGCATATATGGCAACATACTCCATTTTTTGCCATGTGTAAAAAGAAAATGTGCCTCAGTTGATGGATGAAAATGTCATTTCAAAGTTAACAAAAATATTCATATAACACCTAATACAAGTGAGACCTAATATTGCCTCATTTGTGTAAGATAGTGCAAATACCTAGAAGTACTAAAAAGCGACAGCCACACTGCTCATACATAAATCAAGAAAAGTATCTAGGACAGAAACTATGATCTAATATGGGAATAAATCCTGTGATGGCACAACCCCTAAATTCATCATAAACAGGACTCGAGATAAATGTTTCTAAAACAGAAATAATTATCTTGCATGGGAATAAAAACATTGATGGCACATCTCCTAAATTCATCATAAACAGGATTTAAGATAAATGTTTCTAAATTTTTGCCATGCACGGTACCAAATCCATTCAGAAATATCTAAACCATTAGCTTTCTAAGATCACTGGTTAAGCATGGCTTTGAGTAAATGAAGCCCATGAGTCATGGTGAAGACCACACTTCCTTGAACCTCATTGTCTGGCACTACAGAATCACAAAAAAACAACTGTCCCAAGTAACAAAAAGCACATCACTTGAGGTCTACCAACAGCTGCAACAACTGAAATGGATGGCACTTGCAACTCAAAAATAAAATAATGGCATAATCAAGATGTTGGACTTGAGTGACCTATTTTTCTGAAAAATTGTTTTAAAAGAAAGATTTTATAAAAAAAATGTAGATCCATTTGTAAATAAATTCTTAATTATTGACTGCTAATAATAATTAGAATAAAACATAACATGTTATTGTTTTGTTATATTTACTTAAATAATGATATTTCTTTTTTTTTACAGGCTCATCTGATTACTCAGCAAGGAAACTGGTCTGCATTTAAGTCTTGCATTAAAAATGAAATGAAGTCTATGTACTGAGATGGCAAAAATATTTTCCTTTCTTTTTTTTTTTTCCTTTTCATTACTAACAACAAAATAAAATAAAATACTGAACTATCACTTTAGTGCTTGTTCACCCATAATCCTTTAAATATAAACAATTTATTACCCACAAAATGTGTATACATAATAAAATTTTATGCAAGTTCTGTTGAAAATGACAAACTGAATATTTTGTGGATTTTTTATTCAATTCTTTTCAGGTGTTTTTACAACTTTTCTTATTTGAAAGCAAAATGTGTAAAAGAATTATTTATAGTTTATATTAACTCGAGCACTTTCAGCTAATTATTTAGCCAACATTTTCAAGGTGTGTGTGTGAGTACCCTACCTCGTCTGTCAGGGTACTTCTCTTAATACCCACTTGGTAGCATAATATAAAGGGAAATGACATAAACTCTGTTTTTGCTAAACTGTGTTATGTAAGAGTTGTAATAATTTTATTCTTTGTAGAATCTGTATTTTTTTTTTTTTTGCAGTTTCAAGCACAGTCAGGATATCGTAGCTATGTTTGAAAAATTTCTATTCAAGGTGAATTAAGATATTCATAATTTGAAGCTCTAGATTCACCATGAATTAAACTTTTTTGAATGTAGCCAAATTGTCATGGCTGTGTTTTGAAACAGAAAAACAAACATCCATTAAAAAAAGTTATTATTAATCTCACACAACAGAGTAAAGCAAAAAAAAAAAAAAAGTGAGTTTATGGCCTTTTCTTTTATACTGCTTAATACTAAGCCACCAAGTGAATATTAAGAGAAAAACCCCAGCAGACAAGTTAGTGTAATCCCATCTACTCCTTAAAAAAATTAACTGTAAGTGCTTAGGACAATGTCAACTATGGATAATACACTTAGCTTTTGAAAAAGAAATATGGTTATAGCATTACGAAAAATAAATAAAAACTTAGAAAATATTCATTGTCTGTCACATCCAATAAAACTTGCATGAAACAAGAATTGCTATCCAAATATACAATAATAAAATGTTATCAGATATTGTACACTTTTTACAACTTTTCTACATCTATAAATTTTTTAAAAACTTTTTCAATATAAAAATTTTGCATAATTTTGTCTATATTATTACTTTTTTTTTTTTAATTAATTATCACTGGCTTAATGTATTCTCTATTCTATTTTGTCATTTTCTAGCTTATAAATTTTATTTGTTGGCCCGTAAGACACATGATTTACAATCTTATTACTATTCACTGCAATCGACTCCAGCTGGAAAGCAGTTCATTTCATGCATCCATAAGTGACTCCTCAGTCATAATACTAATATATTGGATGCAGTTTTATATAGTTAAATGTCTTATATATTGCCAAAGATGATACTCAGCATATTTCCAGTTATATTCTTCTTTTATATTAAGTAGTTTTCTTTCTTTCCCTGATAAGTGTATTCATCTGTTTATTTATACATTTATCTTCAAATAAAATCCAATTTGGAAACAATTCTTTAGTTATATTCTTAATAAATTAATATACAAATAAAATTTGAATAATAAATTTATATAAATTTAATCTTTATTAATCAATTAACTTTCATTTATTTTTGCTCCCTTTCTTTGAAAAAATGTCTGGAATGTTTATTGCTTCTTTATTTTTTTGTATCTTGCTGTCAGATCTTGATGTGATTATTGTCTAAATAGACTAAGCTACATCTAAAATAATCTATGAAAACACTTATCTCCCGATTTCTGTGTTAAACTCAGGAAAGCATATAAATTTTCAGATATATTATTTTTTTTTATCCATGTGAAGCATTTGATTCTAAACCCTTCAAAATTATTGATAACATCTTTATTCTTTCTACCAGTTTGAATCTCTTTTGTTTCACAGGGAAATGATAATTGCTAAGAAGGCCATAGAATGCGTTGGCTGAAACATTGTAGCAACAATGAAAACAAAAAAAGTGTGTTTCACAGGGAAATAATAATTACTAAGAATGAGCAGAGATGATCCTGTTATCTGATAGCATTATTTTTCCTGTTTATTAGCATTTCTGGAAAAAGATAGTTATTTATTTCCTAATGAAATTTACACTTAAAACAGTTTATAGAATAGATCAGACAAGATGTGGTATATATAAGAGCAAAATACCAAACTGATCTGACTTACTCTTGGAATGATAATGTCTCTTCTTAAAAATACATCTTCCATATGAATTGCATACATCAAGAAGGCCATAGAAGGTATTGGCTGAAACATTGTAGCAATAATGAAATTTATACTTAAAAATGTTTATAGAATGGATCAGACAAGATATGGTATATATAAGAGCAAAATACTGAAATGAAATTAATCATCTGACCTAATCTTGGAATGATAATGACTCTTTTAAAAAATAGATCTTCCATATGAATTGCATAAATCAAGAAGGCCATAGAAGGTATTGGCTGAAGCATTGTAACAACAATGAAAGCAAAAATATGTGTTGTCTGATCTACTCTTAAAATGATATTGGCACTTCTTAAAAATACAGAAGATATATCTTCTATATGAATTGCGTACATCAAGAAGGTCTTAGAATGTGTTGGCTGAAACATTGTGGTAACAATAAAAGCAAGAAAAAAATGTGTTCAGTCATCTGATCTACTCTTAAAATGATATTGACTCTTCTTAAAAATATAGAAGGAGTTTGTTTTTTTTTCAAAACAACAAAAAGAACTAAAATTCCAAATTAAAAGAATGACTATTATTTGGACCATTATCCTCATCTTCATTGCCATATTCACAGCATTTTGGCTGTTGTATGCTTCAGTCTTCTTCAGGTGATTGGAATTTCAAATTGAACCCGTTATTTTGCCCATTGGGGTAGATTGTTCTAGTTCCACGTGCCATGCCTCTTCCAGATGTCTCAGTCATTTCCCTTTAACTCAACTCTCCATCTAGAAGAGGCATGGCATGTGGAGCTAGAATAATCTACCTCAGTGGACAAAATAAAGGGTTTGGTTCAAAATTCCAGTCACCTGAAAAAGGCTGGAGTGTACAATGGCTGAAATGGGAATATGGCAATGAAGATGAGGATAGCAGTCCAAATAATGTAAATAATCATAATACCTCATCTCAGAGATATTGACAGATATTAAAAGAATGACATTTTGATGAGTTAAAAAAACACACTTTTTCATTTTAATTAAATCATTATATGTTACTTATTCAAGGGTTTAAAATACTATGGTCAGGAGTGAGGTGAGATTGTGAATATATATACATTTTATTGAAATATGATTCCTTAGATTATAGTGATTTGCAGTGAACAGATGCATACTTGCTTAGATACCTTTTTAGTCATATGCAAGATACAAGCAAACTATTGAGAAAGTTATATCACACATGGTTCAAAGACTTTCTTTTGATTTCATATATGCTTAATCATACATATATATATATATATATATATATATAAAGTATTATTTGATAGTTAATAGGGATAATTCCAAAGAGGATATAAATTCAAAGAGAGCTCAATGTAAGAACAGAACAAATATAATAATGATGAAAACTTTTGTCATTATTATATATATGTGTGCATGTGTGTGTGAAACTTCTCTAAAAAAATTAAAGTAAGTTTTGGTATGAAATGGCTTGTCAAAAGAAGAAAAACCTAATAGAAAATAACTTTGCTGCTTATTTCTTCCTGAAGTGAATTTTTTATTTTACTTTTTATTTAGAAAAAAAGTGAAATGTCAAGTCATACAAGAAATGCTGAGTAACTTATCAGAAAAAAAGCAATTAGTTAATCTTTTCAAATACCCTGGACTTTTTGATAACACTTCATACATCTTGTAGCAGTCTAGTTTAACTTAATCTATAATAATCACATTTGATCTCTCAAATATACAATTACCTAATCACTAAGAACATTATCTACTCTTTTGTCCTGAGACACACTAATTTATATATATATATATATATATATATATATATATATATTGAGTGCTGGTGTTAATAAAATAGTGCTCGATATAATATAACAGAGTCATTAAGTATATATTAATATAAATATTATCCCTCACCTATATAGCACAACTCAGAGTTTCGTACACAACAAAATCTACCCAGCACCTGAAGATTGTATTGTGTATGAAGCTCTAAGTCATGCTACTGGTGAAGGATAATAATATATATATATATATATATATATATATATATATATATATATATATATATATATATATATATAGTTTTATAGTATGTTATATTTATGGTGCTCAATATTAGTGATAAATTAATGTAAATATAAAAGTAGACATTAATGTCAACACCCAATGATGACAGCCTGCCTCATGCTTAAACACAATCTTCAGGAGAGCAAAATAACAGACAGCCTCAAGATTGTGTTTAATCATGAGGCAAACTGTTACCATTGAGTGTTGACCTTAATGCCCACTTATATGGTCATGCATTTGGGTAGCTATCACTTTATAATATATGTTTTATTTAAAATAACTGAAAAGGTACTTCTGTTTTTCAATAGTTATATTTTTATTAATTTTTCTTGGACTTAGTCTATGTAGAAATTGTCCATATATTTATTGGCTCCAAGTGCTTTCAGCTAAATTATTATCTATCTTCAAGGATTTTTGTTGTTATCTAAATAGTTAATAGATTAGTTAAAAGTGCTCATAACAAAAAATTATTTGGGCAATTTCTACATTAACTAAGTCAAAAAAGGAATTCTTTTGTTTACATACAATAAAAATATAACTAAAAATTTAAATGAAGTACCTTGTCAGTTATTTTTAATGAAACATGTACTTGCTGCACAAATGCACAATAATATCTATTTACATATCTATCCGTCTGTCTTTCTATCTATCTGTCTATCTAACTACAATAACTGTTTTTGTCAACAAAATAATACTTTCTTTTCATCTTGAATATGTGTCTACAGGATTGATTTTTTACTATTTTTTTAACATTCATTCCTTTAATCCTTACTAATTTGTTATGTTTTTGTTTCATTAT